GCTCAGTTTTCGCTGTGAATGTTATAATCATGGGAACTTCTTACAAGAAATTATAAGCAGTTTTCGCTATTTGTATTTGCTATGCTTCGTGGACGTCTGACGAAGCAGGTTTATTTGCGAATACTATTAGAACGAATTTCTTTTATATTTTTTTTTTGGTGTTACATAACTGAATATAGCTTTACTATTTATAATGATATAAGGTATAGGTAGAGGCATTGTCAAATGTTAGCGGGATAGTGAACGCAAGCTTGAAGCTACCACATTTCGCTGGGCATATTAGTTGCAAGCTAATTCCAGCTTCAAGTATAATATTTGTGTATTATCGATGTTTCCATCATCAGAAATAATGTTATATTTTTATAATTATCGCAACTTAATTGGTCCATTCGTTTAGGAGCTATATTACGTACAGACACAGATACGTCAAACTTATAATACTATATTAAATTTGCGTCAGGGGTTGAAAACTTGTAAGCATTTGTTTCTTTCCCGCGCATTTTAATGTGAACCCATCAAAATACATAACAACAATCACTTGCCCGTTATTGTTGAATTGCTACCAATTACTCATACGAAGTCCAACAATCATTTCTGGCAAATTGGCACTGTGGTCCGGCCAATACGGCTCTTGTTTACTGTCGATTTAACGGAAACAAAGGCGACTTTCGGCCTATGACAAATGGTCGTAGCTTCTGCAGAAAAACCTTTTGTTTGCAACAAAATTTCGACCTTATTACCTCAACACACGATCCAAGTTCACTAAGAAACTATTAGTGCGCTGAAACGTTTCCTAGCCACATTTGTACATTTGCGATTTCCTGCTTTATGTGTATAGTAACTCTGCTTCAAAGTTACCATTATTCTTTAGATTGTGTTCATAACAACTTCTTTTTAAGACGCGTTCTTATTCTAAATAGTCGTTTATAACATAATTTTCAATTTGTATTCCAATTTTGAATATATTATTTTTTATTGTGTGGGATGCGCCATTATAACTACTATTATAATTGGCCAGTTACATTAATGAATTAATATTTAATAAATGTATACTATTCTATACGTATCTTGAATTAAATTGTAATATAATTTTGGGTTAGAATTGTAATCATTCGAGATATTTACTCGATCTTGCGGTATAGGGTTTTTCTAAAATTGGTACTGTAAAGTTTCTTTAATATCAGCAAATAGATACGTTACACTTTTAGCATTTAATAGGCACATATGCCACTAATACCTTTTATTATAAAATGAGTCGTATGTTTGGATGCTACCATTTTGACATGAAAACTTACATTGATAACATTTCTTTAAGCAAGAAATAAATAAAATATTATAACTCACATGACTTTTATAGGAAATAACTAATTAGGATTAACCAATACAGCTATAGAAACAGACTGACACAATATAGAACTCCATTCTTACTGAGTACGTAACATACTATAATACTGCATTGCAGAAATCATCGTATATATTTAATGTATGAAAATATGTGGAAAATTCTAGAACAGCACATGCCTTCACCTACATAATAGATGGCTCTCGTCAACGATTCATCAATTTGAATATCGAACGATAAAATCGTTCCTCCGATATTCCAATTTTAAAATTCATCACGCTCCCCTTTTCTTGCCAGCGCCCGAGGGGCGGGCTATATCTTTGTTTTTATGTTTTACAGTATCTGAATATTCTAACTACAGTTTTAGTATTTCATTGGAATGCCTTCGTACTATAGTACTTAGAGCTAGCATAAAAGATTTAATTGGTAATTATAACATTTTTGTAATAATATTTTGTCGAATTAGGTGTTGTTTTGCGAAAGTCCATTTCACTATTTAATGTATTTACATTATTTTGTTTACTTCCGCTACAATTAGTGTGAGATTACAAATATTCACTGAAACGAACAGAAACTGGAATACCGTTACGATTTTCCCTAATGGTAATCAAATTTCGACTGTTATTGCGTCTATATCTATACTGCGACACGTGCTTTACCTCTGAACGAGGCATCATCAGGCATTGAATAGAGTTAGTATATAGCTTGCAAACCTAGTATTGACTGTTCCGCGTTTAGTAAGTTTATGTAGTAATACTACATGAAATATAATAAATACTAAAATGAACGAAGAATTACTAAGATTAATTTTAAATAACAAATATTTAAACACACGACACATATTACAATGTAAGAGGTAAGTTGGTGTGAAACAAAACATCATATGTATGAATAACCGATATGGCAATGAACATTTCAAATTTAATCTCACCGCATTCCGGTTTAGTTAAATGAGTTCTGACCAACACGAGGGCGTTTGTTAGGAAGTTCAATAGATTTTCACAAGCGAGCTCTAATTATTGAATCAGCCAATTCCATTCAAAATCAATGCATGTAGGTTGTTAATAATAATAAGTTGTTAATAACTAGTGGTGGCCGAGTGTTCGAAATTCGACCTAAACTAATTTAAATTGTAAGTTCATACATTATAATCTGTAAGACTATAGACGAATAATATTAAAAACAAACAATATTAATCTATTCTCAATCTGATCACACAATATATGTGTGCATGTGTCAAATACATACCTACACTATGCTACCAAGGAACAGGACATTGTTGACTATATAATAATAATAATAATAATACATCCTTCCAAAACAAATCTCTTACAGAAAGCCACAATATTAAACCTGTCGCATAACCCGAAAATTCTTAACTTCTTCAACAATATCTTCACCCAGCACAACCTCTCCCACACTTGGCTAAGGCCCGTATAGGTGAGTATTACCTTCTTTTAAATCTATAAAAGAAGAGAAAAAAAAGGAAATAAAGAATAATAATAATAATCTCAGGACAATTCACACGGTATGTAGACCCAAGTTAAGCTAGCTAAAGCTTGTATTATGGGTACTAGATAACTGATACATATACATAGATATTTTTTTTGTAAATTAATACATATTATACATAGAAAACACCCAGACCGATACATACAATCATACTCATGAATACAAATGTTTGTGCCGTGCGAGGCATCGAACCCGCGATCATCGGTCGTAAAGCGGTGTGCTAGACCGCTGGACCATCTAGGTCGTCATCATATATCCGGACTAAGTAACCTGACATTGAGGGTAACGCAGCTGGAATAGAGTCGCAACGCGAGCTTCAAAACGTTCGTGGCCCGGGTCCCCACCACTATGCTGCCCACCTTCATGAAGGAGGACTACTAGCCGAAGGGGATGGTCTATCGGCGCTACCGTGGCAGATTGCCGTCATCAGTGCATTGACCATAGAGACAATTTTATTTACAAATTTTATTATTAGTTCTTATGTATGTTAGTCTATAAGGTATGTATAATATGTATATATGGCCATGTAGCCTGAATTAAATAAATAAATAAAATTCATGGTAGCGTATGTAATATGCACCGATGTCGGAGAAGTTAAAGAGTAATCGTCTATCGTGGTATGGACATGTAATGCGTAGGAATGAAGATCATATCCTAAGGACGTTGTTACATTAGCAGAAAAACAGTGACAGTAGCAATATATATAATAACTAGCTGTTCCCGCGGTATAATCCATGTGTTTATAGCCTATATATTTTTCTGATATAAGCTACTGTAAAGATAGATTCATCACAATACTTTCAGTATTTTTTGCGTGAAAAACTAACATACATCCATGTGCAGCCACAAACTTTCGCGTTTATAATATTAATATATATATTATTTTCTTTCAGTACTAATTCAAATGACACTTTTAGTATTATAAATATAGCAATATATCAGCATCATTACATTTGTTCAACGGGACTGTCATAACGAAATAATTGAGCAACTAATTCCAAAAGTTTCGAATTTATGTTGTTCGTGCGACAGCGCTGCTATGATCATCCAATAAAACTTATCCCAATAAAAATGTCATGAAACTCTGGAACTACAACAGAATATTTATAACCAAAATAGTCGCAAATGTATGATAATCTCGTTACAGAGACGGCAAAGTTTCAAAATCTAACGCGCCACGGACGGCAAGCATAACCCTTTTTAATGAAGGGATTTGAAGATATACGCCAACGTAAGCCGCTCCATTTCGATTTGAACACTATTTAGTGCGGCAAACGTGAACGAATTATAAATTAAATTCCGATTGGATTAGCTTAAGTAATAGTAGGCTCGAATGCTGATTTAGTTACTGAGTCATGTACCAATAATTATAACAATAAAATAGATGTAGATAATAATGATTAAGTAAAGTATAAAATGGTCACGTAACTAACAGTCGCTACAATCGAAACCTAACCGGTACCTAATCAGAATATTTTTGTATTAATTGTTTAGTTATTTCAAATCTAAGTTTTAACAATAGATTACAGATACTAACTAATAACGTTAATGAGTTGTATATGCCGAAAATTTTGACAGTGAGTTGGTCTGAGTTGTTATTCACAGGCCGGATCATAGTGAGATAATGAGTCATTGTACAAAATACTTAGTATCACTAATGGCTCTCAAGGACTAGGTACTATTCATAATATCTATAATTATAAGAGATAGTATTTATATGTTCGTGGGTGAACATTACATTATAAATAGTAATCTCAGATAGAAATAATACTTATTGTAATGAACTCAATATAAGCATTTTTGAATAGTCATATATTGTTATGATTTTACTACTCATTCGGAATGCAGACTTATCACAAGCAGAACGAGCATGAAACTTGCGTGTTATCTAATATTTTAAATAAATTCGGTTCAGTATTACATTATTAATTATTTTGTGTGAATACATACTGCTAAATAACAAAGTTGAAATAATTAAATGAATTGTTACTTGAGTAACAAAATAGTCAGTCAATAATAAACAGTCGTAGTTATCAGAGCACACCAGTTCCTATAAGCACCCGTTCACGAGTAGTTATACTCGTGGACGGATACGATAGTATACACAAAGTGTGAGTTTTAAGAACAAATTACAGATAGTACTCACAACGTCGATGAGTTGACTAAGCCGGAGCCCCATTTTGACGGTGAGTCGGTCTGAGTTGTTTCCCACAGGCCGGATCAGGCGATTGTAGTTAGATAGCAGGTCGTCGTACAACCGCTTTGCATCAGGGTTGGCGACGCTCAAGCGGCCCCACACGCACAGGAGTCCGACCACCAGCGCCAACACCATCTTAGGCTAACACCACCCCTGAGAACAAACAGAAGGCATAATTAGGCAAATTAAAAAAAAAAGTTTATATAAAGTCATCTGGAATCCTCCGTCTCAACTACTTTACTGTGAAACATACAGCCTTGAAATCGACGTACCAGGTTGAAGAGCATATATCTAGCAGTAAAATTATAAAAGACGAAGTTACCTTAGTACTAGAATAGTAACGCAGTCATTTTGTTGTACTTTTGTGTCTATACGGTATGATTGCAATTCTTCATCCATAGGTCTTTAGCATTCTCGTTTTTTTTTAATAGATGATAACGGAATGGTGCACTCGCCTGCGCTAACGGTATACCTGGCGGGGCACCAGTGGAGAATGATAGGATGTGTATGAGGTTCGATCAGTCAGTCTATCATGGCATATTCACCAGGAATTTAACACCATGATTTCCAGGTGTACCGCGTGGAGGTCGACTAGATGTGGTACATTGCTAGCAATGGGGTTGTTAGTCCACATTACAAACAATCCCCTACCCCTTAGCTTTCTTATTACATAAATAATATTATTTGCTTATAGGTACAATAACGTCACCAGTAATTTTTATCCACAATGTCTTGATTATAACAACGTTGTTGTATTTAATTCTCATTTTAAATAAACTTTAGCATTTCAGAATGAATTATTTTATAGTATTTTAAATAGATATGAACTATACAAATGTATTTAAAAAAAATATAACTCAGTAGTTAATTTTAAAGACTAATTAAAACCTACATACCAACACACTGGGATATTGTTTTACAAAGACTCTTATATGTACTACAGTTGTGTTTGATACAAAATAAACTATGTACTGAATGTTCAACTGTTGAAATCGATCGAATAGTCCAGAACAATGCTTACGCATACATTGATAAGCGCAGAAATTCACATGCTGGTTGCCATCGATTGCATTCTGCACGGTATTTTGATGCCACTCATGTTGTATTGCCATAAATTATTGTTAAGTAGCTGTGCCCGTAATTTTCGTGTGAAATTTATAGCCTATGTGTTGTTCTGATTTATAAGCTATGTAAAGTTTCATTAAAATCCGTTCAGTAGTTTTTGCTTGAAAGAGTAACAAATCCATCCATCCATCCATTCATACTAAGAAACTTCCGCGTTTACTGTTTTAATATATATATATAATTTAAAGTTATGAGCACACGGGCCAAAAACAGAGCCTTTAGTGTTTAATTTTCTTTTATCAACCAGCTTGTGATGCATAAAATGAATAAATATAAAAAGGTTTTTGTCCAAGTTATAAGATGAATGTCTCGCGATTTTTTTTAAGATTTTAAGTTTTTATTGTCAAATTTCGATACATCGGTCCCATTCCAGTATTTTAATAATACACTATTTTATTACTTTTATACTAGAGATTGTTGAAGGAGGCCTTTGTTCAGCAGTGGACGTCTTCCGGACTGAATGATTATGATTATGATGATTATGATGACCTGTAGTTCTACAGTTCGCAGGCCTATATCATAAACTATATTACTGGACGTATATGTAATATTAAGGCACTTAATATTTAAAAAAAAGTTATCACAAATTAGTTCAATCTTATAAAATCTCAATTAGATTACATCCAAAGTTCAGAACACGATAAGTAAAACTCAGATTAAGCAAAATGAGACGCATCCACATTCAATCTTGTGAAACTAAGATACTCGTGAAAGAAAAACTGGTAACAACAACATAATATTACAAAGATGTCCTCAGAATAATAATTGTTGGGATGTCGTGATGCCAGCAAAAACGCGAGAGATATATAGGAGTATCTAATTTACCGACCGTGAACAGAAAACATTTATTTTCGCAAAATCTTCTGAACACGTCTGTGTTCAGAAGCAAGTTCACCCAATTATCTTATTAACCTTCAGTATATTACGGACAACTATGTATATTTAGTAACTATTGCACGTGTCTTTACACGCGTAGTGTCGTTTAGTATTGGTTTTTTATTTCTGTTTTAAGGACTTTTTATATTATATTCTATTTAATTCCAAGGATATATATTATTCACTTTCAATTGTTTAATTATTTATCATTTTAATGTAAATTTTGATACAAGAGACATAATGTTTTATATTGTTAAAACCTATAAGCATTGTATTCCGCAAATAAATAATTTGATTAATAAAAATAAGTCTATACAACATTTTAACTTATTCGTGAGTATGCTTTGCTTTTGTATTAATTTGAGTGTTTTCTATATATATTACGTATGTATATACAAAAAAACTAAATAAATTCTTTAGTTCTTTTATCACAAGCTCTGCCTAACTTAGTACTAGATGACGCTGTGTGAATTGTCCAAGGATATTATTATTATTATGACACTTTACACTTCACACTCATCAGAAATCAAAACTTGAGAAGTACCAATGAGAAGGTATCATAATGTATTCTGTGAAATCGACGATACTAGCAACAGTTACCACATTCCACCATGCCATTACATTTACATAAAAATCTTTCCGTTACTCTAAAAGATATGAGTTCTAATAGCAAGACAGTCGTTACTCCATTATCCGGAACATAATTTCGCGGTTTGTATTCTTCAATATTATATCTTCTACATGAGTATTCCTTTGTGAGGGGCTTACGTCTCGCCTCATAAACGGTTACAATAATGTTAAGAAATCATAATTTAGACGGAATATTTTGTTGAAGGCTTTTATGGAGTCGAGAATACATATTTACACTTCTACAGGTGTATTTCTGTGTATAGTACATTATATATCAAGATTACAGTTTAGGTGAGTTGAAACATTATAATAATAAGATGTAAATTACGCATTTCCATCGAATTGTACAGAGACATTATTTATTTACATATTTTATTTGTTTAAAATATAATACGGGCAAGAAATGATGTAATAAAAAATATAATATGCAATAAAAATAATAACTGCTAGAATTTGCATTATAAAATGAGTCTTATATGATCCTGTATAAGATATTCAATAAGAAATCTTTAGAAACACAAACCAAATTCCAATTTTAAAATACACTTTTTAAAAATCTCTTGTATTTCAGTATTATGAAAACAGAGAAAAAATTCAATTAAAATTACAATCATATCAATATTATACGAATATAATACTTATTATAAAACCATCATGTCTCAATATACTTTGTCAATATCACTGAGATATAAAAATGCAATTCCATTTAATCGTTTGAATCAGGGAGTGCACAAAATTCAACTCTAGGTACCGTTAAATAAGGACTTTAAGCAGCGATTAATAAAAATATCTGCACTAGAATTAAATTGAAGTACTGTCGTTTGCACGACATTTCCATCTTAAATCGTATAAATTTAAGGCTTGTTTTAAATTGTAGCGATCTTTGTGGGTAATAGGAAGAGGGATTATCGTGGTTCTGATTTTAAAATCTCCTGATTTATTTTTACGAGGCGAACTAAAGTAAATTCTATTTGGATTTCGGTTTGAGAATAGCTCCGTCTCTATTTTCCTTCTCAATGACGTAAAAATATTTTACAACACTAAATTTTTTGTGTTAAAATTTATTATGAATCACATTATTTTTTATAGAGGCTATTAGAAGTCCCATAATAAACGAAATAGTATAGGAGTATTTCTTTAATTTTGAAGATATGCCTTTAGATCCAGATTGGTATCATAGAGATTTTAGCAATACCGGATTCCTTATATTCTCGCTTTATTCATTATTCTGACTGTCTTAATATTATAAATAAAAAAGTATAAACTTTTTAATCATGTTATTTATAGTCAACTTCCAAAAGTGTCGGACATTGGAACTCTACTAAATATAAACCTATTAGAATTTTTTTTTTAACTCAGGAGAATATCTTAAGCCACAGATTGATATCGTAAAAATTAATCAAAACCGAATTCCTTATAATATAAACTAACTAATTTTCTGTCTATCACAGTATTATAATTCAGAACTTATTAATGTTAATTTGGAATAGTTCACAATACTGTTAACATATCCCCACATAAAAGTTAGTTTCCTGAAAATGGCTTAACATCCGGTTTGAACTACTAATTTTATTACTTCCGGTTATAGTAACACAAGTAACTACTTAGTAACATAAAGAGTGGGCTTACTAAATCTTAATTATTGTTAATTACGCACGTCGTCGGACCACGGCGAACAATCGCTGGTATTCAGGGGATTACTGAAATGAAAATCGGCTTAGTAAAGATTAAATATGAATAGACGCGCCTCCGTTGGGGTTAACACCAATTGTAAGTTGTGAGAGGTCGCAGTTGACAATCCGCTACCTCTTATGACTTGCGGCGTATTAAGTGATAGCTGAATCTGATCAGTTTTATTAATTGTAAACTTTTAACTTTCATAGAGACTATAGTTAGGACGCGATTAAGTTGTGAGAGGTAGCAGATTGAACTTCTCTGTTTATGTTTTATGTTATAACTTACAGTTAATATTCACTAATAGATCATTTAAATAAGTATGTCAATAACATTATGCTAATAATAATAATTATGGTAATAATAGAATTAACCTTCAGTTTTGATTCTTCTGAAGAAATTTCCAAATTTATTTACAAAAGTATATTTTAGTTTAGTGTTTATGTTTTCAAAAACACATTATTTATTAATTTCAGTCTTCACGTATATATAAATATTATACTCATATTTAAACATTTCTTTAACTGCCACGCAAATTTGTGCTCCGTCAAAATTATAAATTTACAGTGTTTTTACGTGAAACCTATACTTGTGTATTAGTGTTCTGGATTGCGCGTATTCTAAAGAAATCGGTGATGTACTTTACTATATTAAAATAGTTTATATTACTGTGTAAATCAATCAAAATTTATTTTGTTGAATTGGTTTCATCAACAAACTGACTAAACTGAGACCGGTACCCAGCGCTTCAATAAAACGCGTAAGCGACGCGTATATCACGGCGCTTACGCTCTTCTTCTTGCTTCACTGCCTGCTTGCTGTGCTTGGGA